AATTATCTTTCAATATAGAAAATAAACAAGAGGAGAATCTTTCTTCCCCTAATTATTCTGTATATAAAAAATAAGATTCACGAACAAATGTAAATAATATTTTTTAGGAGATATATTATTATAGTTGATCTACCCAATTTTTTACCTTAATTAATCGATTTTTTTCTAAATCATATTGCTAGTTATAAAATAAATATCGAGAAACATAATTTAATTACGTGCTATTAGCACCAACTAATATTAATAGAATTGGCTATATCCATATCTTGTGGAGAAGATCGTGAATCTGTTCTCAAACAATGTGATTGCTTCGAGAGATGAGAAAGTAGGGAGGAGAGCGAGTCGGCCAGGATCGGGCAAAGGTAAGAAGAGAGAATGCAACGAAGAATTGTGGGAAAGGAGAGAAAATTGCAAAACGACATACCGTGCGACCGCACACGCCGAGAGGATAATTCCACGGTGCGGCTCAAAACCGCGCGCAATTTGGCCTCACGCCATCGTTTAAAGTATGTTACGACGAACAAATATCCCTGTCGTTAAAAAGAGAAGATAGCAGGGAACATGAAATTTACGCGGTAAACTCTGATAACCACTAAAGCCGACAATATAAAGTAAGAAAGAAAAGTATTATTGAATCATAATCACTTTTTTGATTTTTTTTACTGTACTCCTCCGACATTACTGACACTAATACTATGTTTACATTTAAAAAATTTGCATTTGTTTGTTTTATATCATACGGATTTTTTTAGACAGAACTGCATAAAATCTTGGTAATTGTCGACATTACACGTAATTTTTGTTTCTTCCTTGTTTGCACGCGATTTTGCTTGCCGAGTGTGTTAATATATGATTTACACGAGAAGATAGAATAATCGCCGCCAACGCCGTTGTTACTGCCAGCCAAGAAAGAGACGAGTCGTTGCGGTTAACGCATGAATACGCATGCCACACGCTGCCACTTTGCGAACGCGAGTATCTGACGTTTCGCAGGATGAGGGAGAGACGCGAGGGAGCGCGGGTATTAAAACCGAAACGCGCGCGTCTCGTATTTCCGAGAACGAAGAGTTCAGAAAATAAAAAAAAGAATCTGAGTGCCCACAAATCGGATCGCGATAGAGAACAAGATACGAGTGCGTCTCCTCCTCGCTGAATATCTCGCTGTCGCGACATGATTGACACGAGCTTGGAATAAAATATCGTGTTGCAGTGCCATGCGCTTACAACGAGAGGGAATCATTATCTCGATGCACGCGAGAAACTCAATTTGCCAATACTATCCGAGTATCGTTAAAGCTCCGAAAAAAATATTATAGGCTTTCAAAGAGATCGTCTTTGATGCAGTTCCAAGAAATAAATATTGCATTCAAAAATAATGTTCGATTAAATATTTTTTAATAAAATTATCCTATTAATTAACGCGATAAAAAAAAAAAAAAAAAACCGAAAAAAGAGATAGGGAAAAGCGTGAAGAAGAGAAAGGTATATATGTATGTATGTCCTAAAGAAAAATGAACATGTATCTATATCAAGGAGCAATCGTATAACGCACGTGGTATTCTTAGAACGGAGCTTCTTTTAGAATAAACAAGCGTCTATCTGTTTATCTGATGATAATAATGACGGAAGGACGCATGACTGAGACAACACATATGCGTGTTTGCTCGATGGAGAGAAAAATAGGTCGCGTAAGCAATGTTTGGCATGGTATGGAACGTCAGAAACAGCGCGAACTTTTATGGCAATGACGTAAGGAACTAATCTCGTTCGTGACCCAATTGTTTTTCTGCAAATTACATACGGCCAAGAACGCGGCTATCTTTGATGATACTGCTCGAAGTTCATAGATCGCGATATCACAACTTACATACTGCGGTACAAATTGAGAAAACAGAGTCGATTAAGTGTAATTAAGAATCGAGTTAACTTTTTAATTTGGATTGAAAATAGCGTGTGAGAGAAATTTAATCCTAGAACATTCAATATAATTTATAATACGAGAGAAACTGCCTTCGGGAACGCATTCCTGCCGCGTTGGTACAATGCACCTGCTGCTTGCGAATCTGCGGATCTTTTATCGCGATTAAACGAGCGGCGGCGAATGAACGAGCGTCGACAGTCTAGGAAAATTCAAGGCACGTACGACTCGCTTTTCGCTATTTTCCAACTTTGTCCGTCCCCCATAAACGACAACCGTAACGAAACCCGTCCGTGTGCTTTGGGCATTTTTAAATAATCCGACCTTGAGCCAGAACTAAGGAGAGTGCCTTTGCCACAACCTTCGCATTAAACCTTCGTCATCAGGGGCTCGATCGTTCGTTTCAGTACGATTTAAGATCGACGTAATTAATTAAGAATCCGCGGAATGTCCGACGTACCGCGTGTAGGACAAAATAATTTTCGCCTTTAGATTGATTATACGATACGCACGCAATCGTATAACGCACGTGGTATTCTTAGAACGGAGCTTCTTTTAGAATAAACAAGCGTCTATCTGTTTATCTGATGATAATAATGACGGAAGGACGACATATGCGTGTTTGCTCGATGGAGAGAAAAATAGGTCGCGTAAGCAATGTTTGGCATGGTATGGAACGTCAGAAACAGCGCGAACTTTTATGGCAATGACGTAAGGAACTAATCTCGTTCGTGATCCAATTGTTTTTCTGCAAATTACATACGGCCAAGAACGCGGCTATCTTTGATGATACTGCTCGAAGTTCATAGATCGCGATATCACAACTTACATACTGCGGTACAAATTGAGAAAACAGAGTCGATTAAGTGTAATTAAGAATCGAGTTAACTTTTTAATTTGGATTGTAATGGCGTATAATTGACGAAAATAGCGTGTGAGAGAAATTTAATCCTAGAACATTCAATATAATTTATAATACGAGAGAAACTTTCTCCCATCTCTCTACTGTTCCATCTGTAATAATCGCAAATATCATAAATAAAAACATTATAAAAAATAAGTTAATTCTTATTTACATGCCAGATTGACATGCGAGAGAAATATGGGTAATTTGATTTTTCGAAGCAGTTTGGTGATCTAAAAATTTCTTTAAAAATAGGGAACCTTCGAGATCTTACTATCTTTTAAACTGAACCACATTTATTTAAACGCGGAAATCGATTATCGCTGATGTAAAATAGAATTGCATTCAGATACAATTTTATCTCCACATTTGAACAAAATCAAGCTTAGTATTTAATTGGCAGTGGAAGAGAAAATAGCATTTTTTTCTGTATATCATTTGCAATTTCTTAATATAAAAAAAAAATGTAACAGAATATAATCTCATTAACAAAAAATTTTAATTTTCTAGTACTGCTCTAAAGTAATCGTATATATAACCAATTAAATAAATTAATATGAATTATTTGCGATATATTTGTCAATAATTTTATAAATAATCAAAGCTTGTCAAGACATATATTATTCGGGATAATTAATTCACTTTTCTCGAATTTAAAATTAGACAAATCAAGTAGACTGCTACTTGACGTTTCGTGTGAATGCAATCCATGCTGTACCATCGTCACTTGAGCGAATTCGTCAAAGGAATTCGTCCGTTAATAAATTTCCTATTAAAAATCAATCGACGCAGAGAGAGAAACCGGCTTTACTGTCCACATAAAAGTACGCGCGCGTACTAACGGAACATTTTTATCATGCCTCGGGTACGGACAACTGACATTTTCGATATAATTTAATAAATAAAAAATGCGTAAACTAAACGCAACCAAATAAAAAGAGCAGGCCTAAAGAAAGTTTATTTTCGCGTGTGTATCTGTAATACAGAAATATGGCCTCACCGAAATTATATACCGGTTTGGTATGTCGAATGAAGCTCGCCGTGGAACGGAGAGCGAGCGAGCGAGCTAGCAAACGAGAGAGAGAGAGAGAGAGAGAGAGAGAAAGAGAGAAGAAAGAGAGGTTTTCGCGCGTCCCCTCAAAGTTTTGAGTCTATCCGCGGCAATTTAGCGAAAGGAATTGAAAACGTATGCTCTCTGAAGAAAAAAATAACTTTAAACAGGCATAGAGAGATAGAAAAATAACGAAGAAGAAGCTCGCTCTTCGGACTCTCCGTCCCTGATCGAACGAAGCGAAACCGGGCGGGCAGCTAACTCACCTCGTGCCACATTCCGCTGTGGGTTATATCGTCGACGACAACGACGAATAGTAGTAGTTAGTAGTACGACGGTCGTACGGGATATCACGTCTTTTCGTCACGTGCGAATCCCTTTTCCTAAGGACTATCCGATCGGCGCGACTCTTTCTCTCTTCCTTTTTCCTCCCGCGTCACCTGCACCGTGCGGTTTTACACGCTGCACTCGCGCACGTCGCTTTTCAAATTTTCAAACCCACACACACACACACACACGTGAAACTATCTCCACAGGCACACGCCAAGTTGCGCGCGCACACGTACGCACGTGAGAGGATGCCCGAATCAACCGCCAACGAGGGCCAGGCGAACGGGGCTGCCCGCATACCGACCGCACACACGCGCGCGCGCAGACTCGGCAACGGGTCTCTCACGGGGCGAAATGTCAACCGAAACTCGCTCGCGAGAGCGGCAGATGCTGTCTCGGAGCCGGCGTTCGCGTCACGCTACACGATTACGCGCGGACTGAACCGAGCGGCCGAAGCGCCCAACGTCGACTAACTTCGTACCTTCGGACAGACCGCTCGGCCCGCGCAATCGCACTGCGTGAGGCGACGGTGGAGGGGAGAAGAGGGAAAATTGATCAACCGCGTACCGAAAGAAACACGAGCCATTGCGCAGAAATATTTCTTGATCGTATAGAAAATCATATATCACATAAAATTGATATTTTCACGCACGCACGCACATACACACGTCAAATTAGAGCCCCGTATATGGAATTAAATATCTATCATTCAAAATTAACACTTGTCAAAAATCGAATTTTGTTGCAAGATAATTATATTATCCTATGGGATTGTCCGATAGCTATGTATCAGTGAATAAGAATCAACCATAACTTTATTTTGTAATATATATAATCGCTTTTACAGCAGAAATGTCTTGTCTTTCAGTGAAGTTATTAATGAATACACATAAAAGATAATATAATGCGCAATGGATATTTATCGTAATCCTACATCAATCAAAAATATTAAAATTATATAACTGTTCTTCTCTCTCCTCCAATAAAGATAATTTACAACATATATCATCTTTTTTTTTCTTTTTTATCCTTATATTTTAGGTCTAATCGACGATTAAGAATGTTGTCTTTCAAGTTCACACATCATACATAATCCTGTATGTTCGATCTTTACCACGCGCATTCCTCTATAAACAATCTATATGCCGTATGTTTCTCCATTATCACGCTACAAATTTCTAAATTTGTATTACAAGACATATAACGCTTAATTATATTAGTTTTTATGCTACGATCGGATTAAACCAACAAAGAGACAATGCACACCAGTACGTGAGTTAAAGAAAGCTGTTGTTTTTACCTCTCTTGATATATGCACGATACCTATAAAAGTTACATGGAAAACGTATTATAGAACGAATCGTTAAACCGTGCTCTTCGAGTATAACGCGCGAATCTCGTCAATACTCCAAGGTATATCTTGTTTATATGTACAATATATAAAATAATTAAGAAATTCGTGCAAAAAGCATTACGTTCATTCCAGTTGATTCCAATATTCGTTCGTATTTTTTTATTTTTTATTTTTATTTTTTTTTATTTGGAACGTACAAATAACATATTTTCGCTACATGATTACAAGTATCAGGATATCTGAAAGCAAAAGGAATACACTCTCGATCGATTGATAAAGCTGAGAAAGCGAGTTCGTTAAATAGCGGCAATCTATATTTTCCATGCAGGGGTTCCGTTCATGTCTCTAAGAAATAGTCATAAAGTTATATGCAGTAATGAATGCAGTCGTGAACATGATCATATTACAATTCTACTCGTAATCTGCTCGTAGATACTTTTGTAAAGAAATTTACACGGAAAAAATGACATCAACAAAGCTGCAGCCAATTTTCTCTATTCTAAGATCCTCTATTCTAGACTTTCATTTATCAGCTCTTTTCATCTAAACTAACTTCTTTTGCACTACTATCCTATTACTCATATTTGCCATGTGACCATAGTGAAAAAAAAGTGAAAAATACACATATTTTTATTTTGGATATATTAAAATTCATGTAACCAAAATAAGTATTGATTCCAGAATAGAGGGAAATCTCTTTCAATAATCTTAGAATATAAGAAATCGACTATACCTAGAGCACATCAAAGTTGATACATAGACCAAGAACAAAGATTCAGAAAAAGTGAACAACTAATTGTGTAAAATGACAATAGTAATGGCCGTACTATCGATATTTTTCTATCCGTCTAAAACACAGACAAATCTGAATCTAAATAAGAAAGACTGCAAATTGAACGAGTGAGTAGCGTGTATTCCGTCAGGATTAAGAAAAGGGGAGAGAAGGAAGAGGAGGGGTATAAGTTTATAATTTTCGACAGCCAGTTACCTTATATATCTCCCACATTTATCGTAAGAGATAAATAAGGACAAAATTAAAGGTAATATTGGAATAACAGTATTACAGATTGGTGGTTAGCTCATGGATAATTGTCCATTAGAGAGTAGTCTCTCAACAGCTGCGTTTATGTCTCCGAATGTGGCAATTAATGCTGAAAATAGAAGTTGATGTATTTGCATTATTAAATATGAAATGCATGTTATAATGTGTTATATATTAAATTATAAAATGTTATATTAAAACATTATTTAATTTACATGATAAAAGCATGAAGATAAATATTTTATATATACAAATATAATATCTGAAATCTAAAATATTGTATTGATAAAAAAGAATTATTTATTTGTCTTTCCATGCAGATCTTTGCATTAATAAAACAAAAATAAGCAAATATAACTTTAATATAATTGTAAATATTTATATATATAAAATATACAAAAATTTAAAAAAAGAGAGAACTGTGTTAATTCTAACCTTGTAAGTTAGCATCTCTATTAAGAAAACCCATAGCTGTAAGTTGCTCTAGCTGTGCTCTGTAACGTTCCTCTGGTGGAGGTACAGATTGTCCGTCAACTTCTACACCTTGGTTTAATGCCATTGCAGAAACCTAGCACACATAGATACATGATTTGATACACAAGTATATATATAATGCTATATATGGAATATAAAGCTGATTATCATTTAACTAAACAAATGTGGAGAAAATGATTTTTATTTATTTTATATTCTTTCGCTATTAAAAATATTGATTTCATTGAAAAAACTACATCATATGTATCTATAAATTTTTTAATTGTATCAATTGTTTTAAGAAAGATATCATTCCAAGATACTTTTTATATATTTTTCGAGCAAAATGTTAAATTATAAACCTAAAAGTTAAATGTGTGTGCCAAGTTAATATAATATTAGATTACATAAATCTTAAATGATAGTTCTCTTACCATACGTGCCATAAACTGAGAAAACGCATCCTGTTGATTGGTGTCCGATGGTTGACTGGTCGGTACACTGGGGTTCGTACCACTTGTGTTCGGTGTTGTGGTCGCAGGTGGAACCGTGATGCCCATACTAAAACATGCACGCACACACGCTCACTTATAATCACGCGCCAACAATATATTGATTCAAAAAATTAGTGATATTAGTGAGAACAAAAAAATTTACTTTTCCACAAGTTCGGGAGCGACGGTGCGCAGCTGCTCCATACCCTGTTGAATCTGCATGATGGCGGCCAGGGCGTCCGGATTGGTTACGACGTTTTGTATCTGCGGATTTTGCATTTGTTGTATGAAGGCGGGCATCATAGCGCGCATCTGTTCTTGCATCTGCGGATTGCCACGGAGAAAAGGATTCGCCGCGATCACCCGACTGGCCATCGCCGGGTCGGCCGCCATCGCCTCCAGCATAGATCTCGTGTACGGAGCGTTCAGCATGTTTCGCATCAGCTGCGGATTCTCCATCATCTGCGCCGTGAGGCTCTGCATGCCCGGTGAATCAAGCAGACCTCTGCTCTGACCCTGCTGCTGTCCTGTACTGCTGTCATTCTGGCTTTGACCCCACGGATTAGGTAGCGGGTCCCGATTTTCCTGCCCCTGTTGCGGATTCTGCGCATCCTGATTGGAGGAATTACTGTTTTCCACCAAAGCGGCGAAGGGATTACGACCGTTCGTCGCTGCCGCCAGCATCGGCTCCTGTATATCGCGGTACATGCGACGTAGTGCACTGTAGCCACCCGGTATGCTTTCTAGATTAGATAAAGCTCGATCGTGCGAGCGCATCAATTCCTGCAGCATCGACGGGTTACGTGCCAATTCCATCGTTTGCCTAGTAAATAATTTTCATATGCAATATTGTGCAATATTGTGCATAGCATCGAGTACGTATTCTAAATTCAAATTTTGAAATATTGTTTCAGCTATTAAATTAAAGATACAAAAAAAAATATTGAAAGTTGAGCAATGTGCAAAACCGAGAAAAATTTAAACAATTTAATAAACACGAAATATAGACGTCGAAAAATTTTTTATTTGAAATAGATATTTGATAGAAAATAGAGACTTTAATACATGTGTGATGTATACATTTGTAAATCAAATGATCGAAAATATAAAATAGAAATACATGTGACTTTGAATTCTATTGTATTCAAATGAAATATCTGAATTTTAATTATTTATAGTCGCGTTTTGTGCTTACCGTAAAAGTTCAGGATTATTCAGCATATGACTGATTTCAGGATTACGTTGCATCAGTTCTTGCATTTGAGGATTAGCAGTAACTAGATTGCGCATGTTCTCTGGATCATTCATCAGACTTTGAACCAAGGGATTATCAAGCACTTGACGCATTGTTTCAGGATTTGATAATAATTCCCGTTGCATGCGTTGCTGCAAGTCAATAAAATTAGCCGATCCCATGCCAAGAGACTCTAATCCCATCAATCCACCTAAGCTTCCCAAACCAAATGGACTAGCGCTGACATCAGCTATAATAAAAAATTTACAAATATCCCTAATAAAAAATTATCGTAAACATTCCTTTGCACGATATAAATATATCCGTTTACATATTTAAAACTTAAATATGATTAAATATTGTCAATAAATAATCCAACGAGCAAAGTCTTCCACCAAATTATTACCCTGTGGTCGCGTAGTCGAATTTGACTCCTGATTCTGCGTGGATGCGGTACGCGGTGCCTTGATCACCAAATGTACCGCCAGGCCATCCTTGATATTGTGCGTGTTGAGGGTCTCGTGGTCCTTCATGATCTTGCCGGCGAAGATTAGGCATAACTGATCGGCTTGAGCGTTGAACTTCTTCGAGACTGCCTCCTTAAACTGCCGGTGCGTGTCGAGAAAAAAAAAAGCGAATAGATTAGAGACGAAGTATGAAACTAACCCAATCCATTTGACAGCTGATGATGTTTAGCAATGCGCCACGAGGGCAGCGATACGCCGTCAAATGGCATCGGGTAGAACGACGCTCATCGTCGTCGTCGTCGCACTTACATCTTTTATCGACGCATTCTCCTCGATTTCCACGGTCTGCTTCTCTTTCGGTGTTTTCACATTGATGGTGATCTTCTTTGGACCACCCTCCTGCTGGCCTTCTGCCATCTTGGATCGGTAGATGACTCGTTACTTTCGACGCTCGCGCGATTCTCGGTACGTACGCTCGCTCGCTCGTTCTCCCTCTCTTTCTCTTTCTGTCCTTCTTTCAGCCTCTCTCACTCGGACTCACAACCACGTAATTGCGCACCGTGTAAATATATCTCGACTACGGACACCCGCGGCCCGACGACGATGACACTCCCTCGCGCTCGCGATGCGAACGTCCCGTGCGCCCGACGCAGCGACGAGGAACTACGTTGAATTTTTTCACCTGCGAGACTCTGGGCCCGCGAAACTAGAGAGACTGTGCGACCGGACCGACATGCACCAATATGTATCGCGTCGTTCCGCGCTCGGCCATAACGATTAACACGCGGCTTGACGGTGGCGTGAGTCACGCAATAGAACCGCGATCACCGCGATTCCGTCTTCGTGCGAGACCAAATTCCGATCGCACGATCGTACCTCGTAGTGGAACCACGTAAACCGACGGATAACGCAAGAACCGCTAGGTTATGTCACGCTGCCACTACCGCAACGCGAAAGCACTGGCCGCGCCTGCGCGCTCGACGCCGTCAAGATGATACGCGTTCAAGCGACGTCGTGTGCCGGATTCAGCCGGATACGTGGTGTATTCTTACTAGTCATACATCGTATATACGCACACAATCGACGCACGTGACTCATATCATGCCAAATATATCTACGCGTTTCGAAAAGTCACAAAAAGTATCTTAGAGTTTTTAGATTCGTCTGATCGTGTTTTTCATATTATCTAATATAAAAACAATATTATAAAACGATATCAAAATGTATGTGTGTATAAATATATATCTATATCGTATATAAACATTTTCCTCGCATTTTTTTTTTTTTTTTTTTTAAATAATTAAAAGAGCTATAAAAGTGCATTGAATGCAAAAATACCTGCTGATAGTTAATGACTAATCAAATTTGTACATAAGATTATTACTTCTTTTTTTTTATATCTACAAAGTTAACACATTTCAAGTAATTAGTATTATCCAGAGTTTAGATAATTCCTTTCGATTGCTTCAATGGACATGAATCGCTTAATGTATATCGCTTAAATCATGCTTCCTGTTCTTCAATAGCATGTTAATTCATATCTGTGAACAGCTACGATTCTCCAGATGGATAATAGGGCTGATGAGAATACATTGGTGTCTAATTATTTAAAAACGTTTACTTAAAAATACAATTCCTTTAAACATAAATGACAATATGAATGGTTAGAAAGAGAAAAAAATGTCGTTTTATTACTTAGAGTTTTCTTGCGTATGACGGAAAAGGACATTCTATCGGCACCGATTTTATAGCGGTACAATTCTGTCAATTTTCCATTTTATATGCGCGGGTTTCCAACCCTCTTGCCGTGCTCGCCTTCCGATCGGCTGAGAATCGGCTGAGAATAACAGCAGATGATCACGTACATATGACTTTTTTGCTCAACCATGGCTCTTAAATGATGATTTCCACTTTGTTTGAAACGATTCTATATGCTCCAGATTAACGCCTGTATAAAGTAAATGTAGATCTCAAATCAAATAATTTTGCCACAAAGAATTTCAATTTCCTTTTTAATTTAGAATGATAGTGTAATATAATAATGACAATTATAATTGAAGTCAGGACACATACTTTTTGAAAATACCATACAAAAATTTCTTTTCACAGATAATCGATTTAATTATATATATCATATATATAAATTATTCAATTAATGCGAGTCAATGTTCTAAAGATAAGGAAAAAAAAAAAAAGGAAAGAAACGGAAAGAATAGCTACCTGCACTTTTCGCTAATCCATCGGGACTAAAAGTCAAAGCTTTTCTGTCATCCAGATTACAACCAGTCAGGAGGGTTACAACTGGTGCCTCTCCATCACCGGTGAAACCAACTTTTGCTTGCTGAGTAAGATAATGACAACATTCTATTATCTGGAAAAACAACCATGCTTCCTTGTCCTTTGGTCTTGGTCCTTTTATCAATGGGAGCGCCAAACGCTCGTGAGGTCTCTGCGCCCGCAAGAATCTTGAGCCACGTCTCAATTGTGTTTCCAACCATCGCGTCGCTTCTCTCGCCTGGGCACTTACGCGTTTCACTTCGTCCAAAGCAGAAACAACTGTAAATAGAAATAACATCGGTACATCAAACAATAGTGATAGTTTATAATGTATCGCTAAGTTTAATGAGATACTTTTTTTCCATTTCTCTCTTACGTTTTTTTCAACAATAAATTTACTCACCAACTGCGGGAATCACTACTATAAACTTCTTGGCGTATACTAAGCGCTTAAGAGCCGGCGTATGTTTGGCTAACGCTTCGTGATCGGGTACGAGATATGGCGACATCAATCGAGATCGTAATTGACTCTCCAGAGCTCGAACTTCGGCTTTTAACCACAATTTACCCATGTGTCTCATAAGCTTTCCTTTCGAATGTTCAGGCCCAAAGTTCTTTTCGTCTAGACCGATAACCTTTGAAGCATTCGAGGGACACGGATCCGTCGCCACGAATAATCGTTCGGTTTGATCGTATTGCACACCTGAATTTTCGACAGAACTGAGATGATGTCCAAATTCGATTAGTTTCAATCCTCTCAGAAGCATCTCCTCCCGCTTATTCATTTTATATTTATGCAGTATCTGCCAATCGAGAGATTTGTGAGCATCTTCCAGCAGATTCAATCCCCTGAGATCAATGTCTTCTGGTAGAGGTACCGTTTTCACGCACTCTTTTAGTTTCTCCATGTTCGACAGAATCGTAAAATCGTCGCTCTTTCGTACGAGAGCCTCGGTGTCCATGTTGATCAAATTCAATAGGATTGTAAAACGCTTCAGCAACGTCCTCTTGGCGCATATCCTCACAATGTCTGGGTTACTTCGCAGCCAATCGCAACACACTTTGATAGACATAAGCATTTCCTTGTCGATCAATATATTTAAAATGTCGTCCGGTTTTAAGCTCCGTTTCTTCAACTGTGCCGTGTAACAGATATTGTTCATGCCGCATAAGCGATTGTTGTCCTCGAAAGTGCTACTCGAGCTCGCGTTCGTCGTGATCGTTGCGACGCTGCTGGAATTCGTTACGGAATCTTTATCACTTATCGTCTTTGAGTCTGTTTGCCGGTCAGTTGTGTGCTGTTTGCCATTAACTAAATGATCGCTTCCGTCGCAATTATCCGTTTTGTTAACGATATCGCTAACGTGGCCGTTCATCTCTTTCTGCGTTATGTTTTCGGTATTCTGGATATTATCCGTTGGCGATGACTCTTCGTCATCGGTATTATCGTCTGATAATACGGCATTTTCTTCGCTCAATGCGTCATCCTCTTCTGTCTCAGACACATCTGAATTGATCTCGTCGCTAGACGATGCCAAGGTCGATTGCTCTATATCGCTTGCGTCCGAATCGGAGCTAGTTCTCCTTTTTCGTCTACGCAGTTTGCTGAGAAGACTTTTCGATTTGTCGCGAATCTTTTTGGGATCTTTGTTCACGATTTCATTATTATCTGATAACTTTGCTTTGTTAGTTTTATCTAAGTTGAATGCATTATTGTCATTGCTCAAAGCAGAATCTTCTCCTTCTGTATAATCTCTATTGTTTTTTTGCTTAAATGATTCTTGACTTCTTTGCGCATTTTTCAATTTTGTAGAATACATATCCGCTTTTGCAATTGCTTCTATATCAGGTACTGCCATGTCTATGACAATATTTTGCAGTCTCGTTATTATAAATTCCAGTAATTGCGATAGTATTGCCAAAGTTATAGCAACAACACCCTGCACTTCGCTAGATTCTTTGCTCTTTAATCTAGAAATTGACATTAAGCATATTGTCACAATCTTAAATATCATGTCGTCGGTTAAATAAAGTGTTGGTCTGTTCTTGCAATGTTGAAGATATGTCTCTATACTATCCATATTTTCAAGGCAATTTGCGTTATTTGGTTCAATTTGTTCCATTGTTAAACATTTCTCTATGTCAGTTAAGAGATCCTATAGAAAAAAAAATTAAGCATAATTACTAATTTCAAAAAATATTTATACAAGATTATCAGCAGATAATATCTCACTTCGTATAGATTACACACCTGGCATTCCAGATTTATTCTATCAGAATTTGGATTGTCATAATCCCATAAACGCAATAAAGAAAATAATCGCGTCACACAATGATGGACAGAATTGTTTTCATCTGTACAGAGAGAATGAGTTATTATGGTTCTCTTTAAATTTCCTTCTGCTCCTTCAAATGGTTCAGAACATAAAACACTGCAAAATAATCATGTGTGATTATAATTTTTATAAAAATAATTTATTACTTGTGTGTATTAATATTTATTATTAATATCAACCTTTTCATATAATGATAGACTGCATCCAATCCATAATTTTTGCTGCCCGCTATAGTACCAAGCTGATTGTAAGGCATACCAATATTTGGATCAATGGCTATAGCCATTTTATAATATCTGTTTGCTATCATTGGATCCCAATTTGAATCTAATTCTAATTTGTACCTGGTCAGGTCTCCAAGGCATACCAAGCTTCGATGGACCAAACGCATGACACACTGTTTAACTTCCTTGGTATGAGTTTTAAATTGTCCAGTCTTAGTTCTTGCCTATTAAATTTATTTTTATTTATAATCCTCTTGTTATATCGCAATGTTAAAAAAAAAAAAAATTCAGATACCTACTCTTTCCATATGTTTACTTACATACGACGAAACACTTTCATTTTGAATGAATGCAAAGTCAACAACACCGACAAGATCTAGATCATATTCTATTTGTAGCCTCAATATCAGATGATGATAATATCCCACACCAACTGAGAAATGAACCGACAATAATGCTTTTTCCGAATCATTCCAGATGTTACTCTGAAACATAATGTTGTGAATTAGAAAAAAAGTTCTTATATATCTACATAACATAATATTATACTTTCATATATATCATTATTATTAATTTCATCTTTTAATATATTAGATTATCAATATTACCTTTCTAATTTTTTTGGCTGTATAAACAACATCGTAAAAAGCTTTCCTCCACAATAATTCCTCTATTTTATGCACATTTCCAACAGGATCTTTCAATATCAATCTCTCACAATAATCTTTAAGTCTCACACGTAACACTTCTCCCGATGGGACAAATATATCGCTTACTGTTAGAGCACGATTTTTCTGTTCATCCAATTTCTTGACAATCTCTGTCACGCTCCTTGCAAATATAATGTATATTGTTTTATTAAAGAATTAATTAACATGTTTGTATTATATATATCATGCAAGATCATTATCAAAGATACATGCTTAGCTGTGATTTTTTAAATATATTTATCTATTATTACATAATGCTGGAAGAGAGATGATACATAAACGTACAATTAGATATTTTACTAAAAATAGATTAATCGTATCTAGTAGAGGGCGCAAAATTTTCACAAGGTTCGAAAAACGTGCGAATGATAAGAAACAAGCATGGCGCGTATAGGACGGTGGGTTAGGTTCACATCACCCCAAAGTGACTTTGTCACCTTCGTCGCTCTTCCAGAATGGTGTTATCGGAAATATTTACACTCGCAGCGCGATGAAATTATTTTCAGAAGGGAATATTACTTTCGCGAGAATGGATATGGACGGGCTCACACGCATGATTATATCGCTTACTTGTGCAGACGTCTCGTGACTTCGAGGCAGTCCGTTGTTCGGGCCTCCACCGCAGCGTTACACAATTTCCTCATTTTGCGCGACTCATGACCCACGTATCGGCCGACTCGTCCTTACTCATTTCCCCGCGGTCTCCTGACACGCGCATCTCCTTCGCACACTGAGAAATTCGCCCGACATTCGCCCGTCGTCGCTGCCGCTGGGTTAGCTGCGCGGCTGCCCTCAGCTGTGTCCCTGCTATCCGTAAAATGCCCACTTCCTTTTTTCCGCTGTACAGCGATGCTAGAGATGTCGGAGTCCGGAATGATCTTTCCCACCACTCGCCCGTCTTTCCCGGGCGTGCTCCGTTTTGATACTTCGGAGCGTTTCATTGACCAATCAGAGCGAAGAAATAAGAGTGCGCACTTTCCGTTTACGTTGCAGATTGGATAAGAGCAATCCGTGCTTTCTACATCTATGTTTGGACCAATTGAGATCAAAGGAATACATCTATCAAAAAATACACACCGGTGAGCCGTATCTAGATATTTGTACATCACGACATAGAATTACGTTTGAGAACTGTGGATATTTGAAAGTTATAAAAGGTAAACAAATAACAGATTGCACGATACATGAAAAAAAAAAAAGGATTTAGAATATTATAGAAAAATAATAACGTGAAGCTTATCCTTTGAGACTTGGATACGATCTCCTTTTTTTGTGAAATTAGTCTTCAGAATAATAAAAAAAGGAAATAATACACTAAGTGAATCACAAACACATAGGTATATTATAGAATTCTTATTTATTATAAATTCTATTTAGAAGTTAAATGCCAAACTGATTTTTACCAATTTTAAAGAATATAAAGATGGAAAATATTGAGATAAAAGCAAGAATTCAGGATATTGATCGTGTTATTTTAAAAGCCAAAGAGTTGAGTAATAGTGATGGACAAATAATAACGCAGCATGATGTTTTCTTTAACGCAACAAAATCAAGATTAAAATTACGAAAATTTGAGGTAAGAGTGACTATTATTTAATTATCTATTCAATACATCTATTATAAAAGCATATAAAAATGCATATTTCAATGATTGGAATATATTTCTCACAAAACAATTGTTTAATAGGCATGTACTTTTGGATAATATTATTATATATTCAAAAAGGTTGTATTTTTTTAAAGACGCCTTAAAATTATATTGCATTGCTATATTATTTTTTTATATTAATTTTTATTTTCTTTTGTGATATATAGGATGGTACCGCAGAATTAATTTCCTACATGCGACCCAATACAACAGGACCGAAAATATCTCTTTACAACAAAGCATCCATATATGCAGATACTGTAAACTTAATTGAACATATTTTGTCAAGTTCGATTGGTGTGACAAGGGTTGTTAAAAAGACAAGACATGTATATATTGTTGGACGAACACGAATACACATTGATAATGTTGATAATTTGGGCAATTTTATAGAATTAGAGGTTCGCGAGTCTTTCTATTGTAAAACTTTATCAGTAAAAATAAGCAATTTTAATAATATGATGTATTAATACAGGTAATGATGCGATCAGACGATAAGAATATAACGGATTGCGACCGGGAAACCGCAGAGAAGATTGCTGCTGATCTTATGAAAGCACTGTCAATAAAAGAAGAAGATTTAATCGCGGAAGCGTACGTAGATTTACTCAGTCGTGTATGATGAATCTTACTTTCTGTACAGATGTGAAATAATGATTAATTTATATTGAGTCAAAGGTAAAAAAGCATAAATGTATTTTTCTTTTTTTTATAAGATTCAATCAATTTTAATAAATAATTTTTATAAAACCGAATTTTTTTGTGGGAAAAAAAAATATTAAAAGTGTTGGTTACTGACGGTCGATATAGTTTAAGGATAATGTGTGGTAATGTCATTTGTCTTACACTAAGCTACCGATTGGTTGTTATAGTAAGAAATCTTTGAAACCCTAGAAATTCTCTATTCAATAACCAATCGATATGTCCCATGAAAGCTTGTCGTATCAATGGAAAATCACCCTTAAATGTCTTTCGTATTGTTTCGTATCAGAAATCAAAACACAGGCACAAGGGACAATTGAATACTTTCTCTGCAATCGGGTAGTGGTACACAAATATTCGAAGAGGACGGTTAAGAAAAGGAATCTTTTTTTTTCTTTGTTTATATATAATTTATGTGATATCGTGATTTTTAAAATCGTAGAATATAAAATCAAATTGAATAATTTTGCAATAGCGAATTTCAAATTTTATACCCATATTTGAATTTTACATATATCTCAAAATGTCGTACATGTTATCGCATTTAGAAAACGGTTACCAAGTCGACCAAGCAATTTTATCGGAAGAAGATAGAGTGGTGGTGAGTTTTTCAATGTGTACTAAATACTTAATTCTTTAATATCATGTTAACTGCGACAGAACTATTATTGCAAGTTAGAATTTCCACAGTTGTAAATAACATTTTTTACAGGTTATTCGCTTTGGTCACGATTGGGATCCAATGTGTATGAAAATGGATGAAGTGCTCTATAATATTGCAGAGAAAGTCAAGAACTTTGCTGTTATTTACTTGGTCGACATTACGAAAGTGCCAGATTTTAATAAAATGTATGTATGCATTTATTTATATGATACGATTTATTTTGGATCAACAGTCATAACTAATTAAAATTAGATTAATTAATTTTTGAATTAAAAAAAAAATTTAATTAAAAAAAATTAAGTTAACTAATTAATGCTACTAAAAATGGATTGTAAGAATAATAATTATATATAACATAACATATGATATAATAATATAATAATACAAAATATTACTTTTTATAGGTACGAACTGTACGATCCATGTACAGTGATGTTTTTCTTCAGGAACAAACACATTATGATAGATTTGGGCACTGGAAACAACAACAAAATAAATTGGACGTTGGAAGATAAACAAGAAATGATTGATATCATCGAGACTGTATACCGAGGTGCTAGAAAAGGTAGAGGTTTGGTAGTTTCACCTAAAGATTATTCTACTAAATATAGATATTAATTTATTTAGGACTACATTAATATTATTATTGATAAAGATTAATATTCTATTTGTTGTACATAAAAATAAAAAGACTTTTACAAATTTCGTAAATCAAATGAATTTATGTGTGATTGAATAAACAAGGTATTACATGCTCTATTGTAATTGCATGTTATGCATATATCTTAAATAAATATAAGTATAAACACATGTATAAAATATATGATCTCTATAAGCTGTAGAAATATATATACAATTCTTATGGATATATATTACATGTCCTAAATGCAATTTCTTTGCTTCTATTATTTGATGTTTTTCAATTCTAGTTGGACTAGAGATTGTTTAAGATAATATCTGATAATGCTGGTATAAGCATTAAATACAGTATCATTTAATACATTTTGGTATCATATACATTCATATATGGGAATGTCCAATAAAATTGTGATTATTTGTAAAGAATGTATAAAGTAACATTCTATTCTAAGAATTCTTAATTTTCCTAAGAATTTTTTGTCAACGTATTGTTTATTTACATATATTTATAGTTTATACTCTGGTCGAATATATCTATGTATTCTCTGATTATAATTTAACACATGTAAATTATATAACTCAATCATCTTTTTCACATGTCTGCAAAAAAATATAGATTTCATAAATCACTGTTGTGAAAAAAAGTATAATGCACAATTCATGCAACATAATATAGATTTCAACAAAATGATATAAGGCTTACTGTTCATTGCATATTGCGTGTTATTGCCAAGTACATCTTGAGCTGATCTCGAACAAGTTAATAATGGAAAGCTCTCCTGTTTTAAATTTTCTCTACTTAATTTATATGATGAATTGTTCAGTGATTTATAAATGACACAGTCCAAAGTACGGGATTTTCCTAAAGATAGCATTTGTCAACACAATGTTTTTACAAGAAAACTAATTTTGATATATAATCTGTCCTACTGACCTATAGAAATGTGACAGGTCTTTACATTTATGGAACCCATCGATTTGTATTGTCTCAAACCTTAAAGCAAAATTACACGAACTGAAATCTCTTACGATATAAAACCGCATATATACATATAATGAGTGGTATTGAACAGAGTTGCGTTCCTTTTTAACGCCATTTAATTTTCAATATAACATATAACAGTTTAGAATCGTGAGATTTTGTTCCAATCTTACCGCTATCTATTACGTTTCTTCGTTGGTATTTTGTTGACCAAGGAAAGAGACTGTAGATTGATTCCAAAGACTCCATAGATATGGAGCTATTATGTTTTTTTACTAGAACAAATAAATGTGCACAATTTTAATTGCACATTATATTAAATAATAATGTAATAAAAATAGAGTTTTGCAATATAGAACCTCGATTTAAAAAAAAAACATCTTATTTTATGTTAGAATACATTTTTTTATGAAAACATAATTTTGCTTTAATGTATATTCCTAAAAATATTGCTGAATTACAATACGGTTCATTCGTTCCATATCACATAACTGTATGCAATTTAAATGACCAAAGGGAATAGTGTATTACAAAGTTATTCTCAAGTCATGCAGAGAAGCAATGAGCATATAAGCGTGTTAATCTAACAATAAGAGAATATTATCTGCTAAGAGATAAAACTAACAGATAATGATTAAATGAAACAAAACCAGGTGAAAGCATAGCAGAAAAAAATGGCACAATCCAAGCATTTGTTCCTACCTCATCACGTATTAGATATAGTTGAAGAAGAGACTCTCATTCTGTAGTACAAAATAGAGAGATTAATTATTAGATAGATTATAGATAGATTATTACTACCGTGCTTTCTTTATAGATACTACTAATAATACTAAAAGAGTAATCTCCAATCTGTTCTGTAGAGAATACAAAGTATATATTACGTACATGTTTCAAGGTTGTTGACTAGATTTGTATCTGAATTCGTTGTATCTTTGATCTTAGAGATATTTTCGTATACTGGATCAACGGGTGGTGGTTTATCTACAAAAATGCAGAATCATGGGAATTTTTATTATATTTAATTGATAAATTCGTGTTATATGAGAATAGCGTATAAAATATACTTACAAGTTTTTAAGAAATAGGGATTCTTGAGTACTTGTTTTATACAATTATATATATAAGCATATTGACTCTGAAAATATGAACATATTTCCTGTATTATATAATGTCTGTAGGAATATTAATATACAGCAGTCTTAAAGAGTTGATAAAAAATAGATAATGCGATTATCTATATAAAATGTGTATAAAATTTAATGTTTCCATAGCAAGAATATTGATTTTATGACTTTTTAAGTTTTAAAATTCGTTTTAGATTAGAAATTAAACATTTACACTAATGCATTTTACTTACTTCTCTTTGCACCATATTTATTCTATGATGTCGCAGTCTGTATACAGTTCCGAAAACGTCTAACTTTCTATTATCTCTAAGATGTTGCAGGAGGATATCTATCGCTATTAATGTTCCTGTTCTACCGATACCTGGTGTTGGTTACTGACGGTCGATATAGTTTAAGGATAATGTGTGGTAATGTCATTTGTCTTACACTAAGCTACCGATTGGTTGTTATAGTAAGAAATCTTTGAAACCCTAGAAATTCTCTATTCAATAACCAATCGATATGTCCCATGAAAGCTTGTCGTATCAATGGAAAATCACCCTTAAATGTCTTTCGTATTGTTTCGTATCAGAAATCAAAACACAGGCACAAGGCACAATTGAATATTTTCTCTGCAATCGGGTAGTGGTATACAAATATTCGAAGAGGACGGTTAAGAAAAGGAATCTTTTTTTTTTCTTTGTTTATATATAATTTATGTGATATCGTGATTTTTAAAATCGTAGAATATAAAATCAAATTGAATAATTTTGCAATAGCGAATTTCAAATTTTATACCCATATTTGAATTTTACATATATCTCAAAATGTCGTACATGTTATCGCATTTAGAAAACGGTTACCAAGTCGACCAAGCAATTTTATCGGAAGAAGATAGAGTGGTGGTGAGTTTTTCAATGTGTACTAAATACTTAATCCTTTAATATCATGTTAACTGCGACAGAACTATTATTGCAAGTTAGAATTTCCACAGTTGTAAATAACATTTTTTACAGGTTATTCGCTTTGGTCACGATTGGGATCCAATGTGTATGAAAATGGATGAAGTGCTCTATAATATTGCAGAGAAAGTCAAGAACTTTGCTGTTATTTACTTGGTCGACATTACGAAAGTGCCAGATTTTAATAAAATGTATGTATGCATTTATTTATATGATACGATTTATTTTGGATCAACAGTCATAACTAATTAAAATTAGATTAATTAATTTTTGAATTAAAAAAAAAATTTAATTAAAAAAAATTAAGTTAACTAATTAATGCTACTAAAAATGGATTGTAAGAATAATAATTATATATAACATAACATATGATATAATAATATAATAATACAAAATATTACTTTTTATAGGTACGAACTGTACGATCCATGTACAGTGATGTTTTTCTTCAGGAACAAACACATTATGATAGATTTGGGCACTGGAAACAACAACAAAATAAATTGGACGTTGGAAGATAAACAAGAAATGATTGATATCATCGAGACTGTATACCGAGGTGCTAGAAAAGGTAGAGGTTTGGTAGTTTCACCTAAAGATTATTCTACTAAATATAGATATTAATTTATTTAGGACTACATTAATATTATTATTGATAAAGATTAATATTCTATTTGTTGTACATAAAAATAAAAAGACTTTTACAAATTTCGTAAATCAAATGAATTTATGTGTGATTGAATAAACAAGGTATTACATGCTCTATTGTAATTGCATGTTATGCATATATCTTAAATAAATATAAGTATAAACACATGTATAAAATATATGATCTCTATAAGCTGTAGAAATATATATACAATTCTTATGGATATATATTACATGTCCTAAATGCAATTTCTTTGCTTCTATTATTTGATGTTTTTCAATTCTAGTTGGACTAGAGATTGTTTAAGATAATATCTGATAATGCTGGTATAAGCATTAAATACAGTATCATTTAATACATTTTGGTATCATATACATTCATATATGGGAATGTCCAATAAAATTGTGATTATTTGTAAAGAATGTATAAAGTAACATTCTATTCTAAGAATTCTTAATTTTCCTAAGAATTTTTTGTCAACGTATTGTTTATTTACATATATTTATAGTTTATACTCTGGTCGAATATATCTATGTATTCTCTGATTATAATTTAACACATGTAAATTATATAACTCAATCATCTTTTTCACATGTCTGCAAAAAAATATAGATTTCATAAATCACTGTTGTGAAAAAAAGTATAATGCACAATTCATGCAACATAATATAGATTTCAACAAAATGATATAAGGCTTACTGTTCATTGCATATTGCGTGTTATTGCCAAGTACATCTTGAGCTGATCTCGAACAAGTTAATAATGGAAAGCTCTCCTGTTTTAAATTTTCTCTACTTAATTTATATGATGAATTGTTCAGTGATTTATAAATGACACAGTCCAAAGTACGGGATTTTCCTAAAGATAGCATTTGTCAACACAATGTTTTTACAAGAAAACTAATTTTGATATATAATCTGTCCTACTGACCTATAGAAATGTGACAGGTCTTTACATTTATGGAACCCATCGATTTGTATTGTCTCAAACCTTAAAGCAAAATTACACGAACTGAAATCTCTTACGATATAAAACCGCATATATACATATAATGAGTGGTATTGAACAGAGTTGCGTTCCTTTTTAACGCCATTTAATTTTCAATATAACATATAACAGTTTAGAATCGTGAGATTTTGTTCCAATCTTACCGCTATCTATTACGTTTCTTCGTTGGTATTTTGTTGACCAAGGAAAGAGACTGTAGATTGATTCCAAAGACTCCATAGATATGGAGCTATTATGTTTTTTTACTAGAACAAATAAATGTGCACAATTTTAATTGCACATTATATTAAATAATAATGTAATAAAAATAGAGTTTTGCAATATAGAACCTCGATTTAAAAAAAAAACATCTTATTTTATGTTAGAATACATTTTTTTATGAAAACATAATTTTGCTTTAATGTATATTCCTAAAAATATTGCTGAATTACAATACGGTTCATTCGTTCCATATCACATAACTGTATGCAATTTAAATGACCAAAGGGAATAGTGTATTACAAAGTTATTCTCAAGTCATGCAGAGAAGCAATGAGCATATAAGCGTGTTAATCTAACAATAAGAGAATATTATCTGCTAAGAGATAAAACTAACAGATAATGATTAAATGAAACAAAACCAGGTGAAAGCATAGCAGAAAAAAATGGCACAATCCAAGCATTTGTTCCTACCTCATCACGTATTAGATATAGTTGAAGAAGAGACTCTCATTCTGTAGTACAAAATAGAGAGATTAATTATTAGATAGATTATAGATAGATTATTACTACCGTGCTTTCTTTATAGATACTACTAATAATACTAAAAGAGTAATCTCCAATCTGTTCTGTAGAGAATACAAAGTATATATTACGTACATGTTTCAAGGTTGTTGACTAGATTTGTATCTGAATTCGTTGTATCTTTGATCTTAGAGATATTTTCGTATACTGGATCAACGGGTGGTGGTTTATCTACAAAAATGCAGAATCATGGGAATTTTTATTATATTTAATTGATAAATTCGTGTTATATGAGAATAGCGTATAAAATATACTTACAAGTTTTTAAGAAATAGGGATTCTTGAGTACTTGTTTTATACAATTATATATATAAGCATATTGACTCTGAAAATATGAACATATTTCCTGTATTATATAATGTCTGTAGGAATATTAATATACAGCAGTCTTAAAGAGTTGATAAAAAATAGATAATGCGATTATCTATATAAAATGTGTATAAAATTTAATGTTTCCATAGCAAGAATATTGATTTTATGACTTTTTAAGTTTTAAAATTCGTTTTAGATTAGAAATTAAACATTTACACTAATGCATTTTACTTACTTCTCTTTGCACCATATTTATTCTATGATGTCGCAGTCTGTATACAGTTCCGAAAACGTCTAACTTTCTATTATCTCTAAGATGTTGCAGGAGGATATCTATCGCTATTAATGTTCCTGTTCTACCGATACCTGCGCTGTAAAGTATAACGATTTTTTTTTATTATTAAAGAGTTTTCAACAATTCTAATTACTTAAGAGAACTGTAATTAAAATGCAAAACAGCACTAGTCGATTTATTAATATTTTGAAACAATAATATTTTTATTTATATAAATGTGACTCTCTAAAAATTTTGTACAAATTCTATTAATATATATTTTGTTAAAGCAATTCTTTTTTATGTAGAGGTAATGTAATATTTTTTTTACATATAGATATAATAATATGCACATATAAAAATATTTATAATGAACATATTGATAGCAAAAATTTATAAAGTCGACAAATGGATATTTATGCTATTTTATGATTTCAATTATATTTATTCATACCTGCAGTGAACGACAATGAAACCTTTATTGGTACTAATATTGCGACGCATAATTTGACAGAAATTGATCATTGCGTCGAAATCTTCCGGAACATCGTGATCAGGCCAATCTTTAAAGTGCAAGTGAGTAATATTTCTCTTTTTATTTTCCTGTAATTTTTTATTATTCGTATTATATATACTTTTTGCGCATAAAAGTTTTTTCTATATAGCTTTTTATAAATATGCTATTCATGTAAAGACTGAACCTTTTGTAGTACAAGTGTTCTTTGGGTATGTGTCCTGAAATCTAATTCGCTTGTACATCGTATTGTCATGTTCTCGTATCGGAAGGTTTCCCTAATAGTCGGATAGTATTGATGACATTTTTCCTGAAAAAAAGGCGATCAATACGCGATAAAAATAACGTTGTGTGAATTATATCGGCAATCGAAGAATTTACTTTGCCCTTCTCGATCAACTGTGTTAGCATAACTATAATATTAATATTGTATTGATCGACCATCCTCCAAAAATCATAGGTGGTTTCCTCCTTTGAACCTTGACAAGCAATATATTCGTCCTCTCCCGAGTATCCCTGAAATGTAAAATATAAAACTATTTGCATGAATATTTACATTAAATATACAATTTTGAATTAGAAAAAATTCTTTTTTTTTTTTTTTTAATTGATCACAATTTATAAAATAAATATTTTATAATATTTTTGTTGAAAAATTAGTTCAGTTTTCGCTCTCTGGATAAGAAAGATCGTCATACGCACACTAGGTGTGCATACATCATATACATCATATAAAATGCTTACCCTGATGAATGATGCGTTGATATAATCCGTGTTAGGATCGTTATCTATCACTTCCAGCTTTACTCTTGAGAAATCATCTGAAAGTATGAATCATGTTTAATCCACGTGCAAGTATACGTATGTATGTATATAGACGAGAAATAGAGATAAGAGTATTCCTACAGGGTAAAATGTCAGAGTAGCGATTTTTCTTTCGATTAGCCTGTAAGCAGGCGGTGTTTGTAGGCATCTGCAAATCGACGCTGAGAGTTTGAAGCAGTCGAAATTCATTGCTCAATTTTCCAGGATTGTCGACTAATTGTTGGCAATGGCTAATGAATTTCTTCCTGGTGAACGGGGCGGGTACAGGCGAACCGGGCATGTCAGAGTGCATGAATCTTCGCAACACTCTGAAATAGCATAGAAATTGTGAATTTTTGTATACAACATATAAATTAATAAAATATTACGTGAATATATCTTCTTGTATATTTAAACGATAAATGCGTAATAAAAAATAATTAAGATGAGATATATAAAATATATATAATTTTATATACGTATGAGATATATATACGTAATATAAAAAATAAAATCATATAAATAGATACACACACGCGCGCACATATGTAAAATAATAGAGATTAGAAGAATAATCACTGAATGGGATCAACGTCTTCGTTAATGCTCCAACGAAGGTCATCGAAGTAATGAAGAACATTATAAATGCGCAATAGCATTCGTGTTTTATATATGCATATCTTTTTTTTACTGTAGGTAGATACCGCCGGTAGCGATTCATTCATCATAGTAGGGGAACAATAAAAAACTTACGCAATAAGCATACGCACTTGGCTAGAAACGAATACACCGACTCGATTCTCCAGAAGGTCGAAAGAGTCATAGCCGAATTCCCAGCGGGGAATTTTATAGCGCTATTACGACGACACTCTATATCTCTATTGTATTCACTCGCATTTCTTTCTCGCGCGTTTAAAAATATCCATGATAAAAATACTCGATTCGAAGTTTAAACTCGCGATAGTTCGCGACAGACACCTCGTCGTACACTGAGCCCACAATACAATGTATATCTTAGCGTGCCTATGATAGACGTGTGTGCATCGAGCGACCTTGCTCACTCTTTACAGCTATATAGTTCTCTTCTGAGTCATGGAATAAATATTGATCATTGTTCATAAATGCGTGTACCTGTCCGGTGCGTTTCAAGCTTATCATATGGCAACGCGGCAATATAAATCATCGCGATGGGATTTCAATTGGTCTCAAAATAATATTGATAATTTAATATCGATGCATTGTTATATTTTGAAATTTTCAACGATCACGGAAATTTTATATATTTTATCTTATTTTACTACTACTACTTTTGTAGAAAAGGTTTTCCGATGCAGCTCGAGATGCATGAATTGAAAACGTCGCGTTTAATCGAAATAAACAAGTTAATTATCTTCATTATTATACGTTATCGATTATCTACGCCTCTTCTAATATATCAAATATATATATAATAACTTACATGTATGGCGAGCATTTCCTCACAAGCAACATCATCGTCACCAGTATTCCAACGATAAGAATGCCGAAGATGGCCCCGATCACAAGAGCGAC